ACCAGTGTCTTTTATTTCTTTATATTGTCTTGACTTCCTCTGCATATGAAAAATCTATGTCTACATTTTTAAGTCCCTCTTTTTTGTTTTAATGTTGTCTTCTTTTACATAGTGACATCTGTTTCCCTATTTTCAGTGTTTTAGCTTTGGTTTATTTTTGTGACTTCCCTATCTGGGTTGACATCTGTTTGCTCTGTCCTGTGTTCTAGTCTTTGGTTGTTATCTGATGTTATTGATTTTTCCAACCAGAGGACTCCCTTTAGTATTTCTTGTAATTTTGGTTTGGTTTTTGAAAATTCCATAAGCTTCTGTTTATCTTGAAATGCCCTAATTTCACCATCATATTTGAGAGACAGTTTTTCTGGATGTATAATTCTTGACTGGCAGGTTTTTTCCTTCAAGGCTTTATATATGGAATCCCATTGCTTTCTTGCCTGCGTGGTTTCTGCTGAGTAGTCTGAGCTTATTCTTATTGACTCTCTTTTGTAGATGACTTTTCGTTTATCCCTAGCCACTCTTAAAATTCTCTCTTTATCTTTGGTTTTTGCAAGTTTGATTATAATATGTCTTGGTGACTTTCTTTTGGGATCTACCTTATGTGGGGTTCGATGAGCATCTTGGATAGATATCTTGTCATCTTTCACGATATCAGGGAAGTTTTCTGCCAACAAATTTTCAACAATTCTCTCTGTATTTTCTATTATCCACTCCCCCCGCCCCATTTTCTGGTACTCCAATTACCTGTAGGTTATTCCTCTTGATAGAGTCCTGCATAATTCTTAGGGTTTCTTCATTTTTTCAAATCCTTTTATCTGATTTTTCCTCAAGTTGGTATCAAGTGCTTTATCTTCAGTCTCACTAATTCTGACTTCCATTGCCTCAATTCTGCTCCTATGACTTTCTATTGAGTTCTCTAATTCTGAAATTTTATTGTTAATCTTATGGATTTCTGCTTGCTGTCTCTCTATGGATTCTTGCAGCCTGTTAAATTTGTGATTGTGCTCTTCTCTAATCTTTTTTATTTCTTCTATTGCGTGTTCTGCATTTTGCTTAATTTCCTTCCTAATTTCTTGAAGAGTTCTGTATATTAATCTTTTGTATTCTGCCTCCAGTAATTCTAGGAAATTTTCCTCCTCTAGAAAACTTCTAGATTCTTTATTTTGGGAGCTTGCTGAAGCCATCATGGATTTCCTCTTTATGTGATTTGATATTGATTGTTGTCTCTGAGCCATCAATAAGTTGTTATATTTATTTTATGTTTGCTTACTCTGTGCTAGCTTCTTGTTTTGTTTTGATATGCCCAAATAGGCTGCCCATATGAGCTAGTTTGATTATTGGCAACTTTGAAGCTCTAACGTTGTCACTGGGTGGTTAGATCTGTTATTAGGTATGTGAGCTCAGGAGTCCGCCCACTCCTCCTGTATGGATTCAGCTCAGGTGCCCAGGTAGATAGCCACCAAGTATGTAGTGTAGGCGCTCACTTACAGTCCTAGACAGGCATGGTGATTGGTATAGGCACAGGCATCTGGCTGCAGCTGGGGGACACACTCTGAGAAAGGTAGGGGGC